GAGAAGTTATAGTAATGACATATCTCCACGTTTTAAGGTCCCCAGAGTCGAATACGATCGTTTTCCAGTGGACGTCTGTGTGGGTGTATGTACGTATGTGCGTTCGGAATTATTTTTCGCCTCAATTATCTTGAGAACAAAAAATGATATCGATGTGAAACCAACTGCATTCAACACATAATTGCGCAACTTAGAACTGATTCGGTTTTCAACAAAATCGGTCGAGCCATTCTTTTTGCAGAACCAAAAAACTAGCAAAAATGGAAAATGACCTGAATTTCTCAATTTATAAATTATACCATTTTTTAGACAAAATTTCAAAATCTTTTAAAAAATATGAATATTAAATGTTTAGAATAATTGTACAGAAATATGATGACAGTATTTCATAGAAAAAAAAAATTTTTAAAAAACGAAATCAGCAATAAAAAAATTTAAAACTCGTGTCAGGATTGGGAAAACAGCATTAAAGACGCTATAATAGTCAATAATATGGAATTGTGTTCATAACAATTGAACATTGTTACTAACAAGTGATTATTGATCATAGTAATATTTAAATAATAAGTTTTAAATTATTATAAACAATAAAAATAGGAACCCTTTCTATATATATGAGTACTTTCAACGCATAATTTTTATCTTTTACTAAAAAATGTTACCAACCGTATGACATAATTGAAAACATACTTTTTTCGTGTATAACAATGAAATTTTTTGTAAATAATGAAAGAAAGGATCTAAAAAGTACATTCGAATTCTTCTAACGCACAATTTTTTCTTTTACTGAAATAAAGTAACTAACCATATCAAATGAACAAAAACACACTCATTTCGTTCATAACAATTCCATTTGTTATAAAAAATGGAAACGGGTTCTATTCGAATTGTTTTTTCATTTTTTCCACTGGGAAGTTGGTCGTGTAAACCTTTCGGGTCGCACCCAGACCACTGCAGAGCACTGATACTTTAGTTATACATATATTCTTGTAGGGGATGATGAGGAGAGTATTTGTGCAAATTTTTATAACTTGTTATTTTTATGGTTTTTTTCAAATTTTTTTTTTATAAATAATATAAAGTACGAGATACATATTCTTTTAAAAAGCGTAACGCACTAAGTAATCATTGACGCTTGGTAATTTTTCCTAAAAATTTTTTTGTCTTCAACAATGTCTTATTCGGTCTAGCGACATATGTATTTTAGTTTTTTCTTATAAATTATTCGCTAGGATTACCTGCTTTTAAGGTTTTTTAGAATAATAAATTTGCTTTTCAAGGCTGACAGTTACATAGGAGAGGCAAAGCTTAGTCGAACGTGTGCATACTTCGTTCAAGTCCAGCTATGTGCATTTTTTTTCATAATTTTTTGTTTTCTTTTTAATATAAAAAGTTATTACGATAAATAATCTTTTTTCATAAATAATTGAAACATGTTTTTTATTCATTTGTTCTTTTATTCAATTTCAATTACATTTATTTATTTAAAAAATTATTATCTATCGTGCAGATGACCGAATAGTCCACTCCTAAAATGGCAATAAAATATTTAAAGATTGTTTAAAAGTACGAATGCGCAAAGTTGACGGAAAAAAAGCAGAAAAAAGGCGTTCACAACAGAGTACAAAATCGAAAAAATAAATTATTTTCAAAAATTCCAACAGGAAAATGTTCAGAAAACGATTCTGAACATTTCATAATGTTTTAAAATTTTATGAATAATAATTAATATTTTTTTTAAATTGATTAATTAAAAAGGTGCTCACTGGCACATTTCACCGAAACGATCAGAATGCTCAGTTTTGGTGCGCGCGTTAAGAGCGCTGCATCTTTTTACCTGTAACAGGTAAACATATGCTCTCGCGGACTTTTTTGTAGAGAATTCGATTGGGTGCCAATCACTAGAACTAACACATGCGCTATGTATTCGTGATAGACATTTCTTATGACCTCCATGAGCTCTCTGTAGCGTTCCTACTTACTCTCTTCTTTCGCTCGTATATCTGTCTCAGCCAGGGCTGAAAACTCAATGAAATATACGTGCTTAATATTATGGTCGAAGAGAGTAATATCCGGCTTATTGTGTTCAATATGTTGAGGCGTAGAGAGCGGGAAATTCTGAAGAATTTTCGCTCTCCAGTTCTTAACGACTGATTCAATTTTACCGGAAACATAGGGCAGCACTGGTATCTCGTTTATACTATAACAGTGTCTAAGGTGGTAATACAGCACTCTTAGGGCGGCGTTATGCCGGTGAATGTACGCTGAGCGCGCTAATAATAAGGTGATAAGACATGAAATAGCGTCTCATCTACATCACCGTGGCAAACTCGGCATCTTGTGTCCTCGAGTTGCTCGTGCATAACATACGCTGATAGGCGAGGGTGGAAAATACACCATCTTGGCAGGCCATAATGAATCCTTCGGTCTCAGAAAACAAGCCATCTGACTTGTGGTATTGGAAAGTCAGCTGGTGTGACAAGTCCTGTGTTTCGAGATGACGATAAAACACACCGTGTAAGGACTCTGCCACATATTCGTCGAGCAGTTTTAACTGCTCGGTTGTTTTAATATCGGCCTTTCGCAGCCTTCTGGTCAATTGCAAAAGCCTGAGACCGTCTGGGCTGCTAGGATCGAAAACTGAGCCGAGGTTATAAGAACGCATCCCTTCCTAATAATTCGAAGCTGTTCACGAACTTGAGAAGAGGATCAGAGCTCTCATAGATGTCATAAGCCAGGCCTATCACTAACTATTATTATTGTTGTTATTATTATGATTATTAATATTTTTTACCACCAAATTTTATTGTAAGCAAAGCGGGCGGGTATTCGCTAGTTAGAAAATTATTTAATCTGAAACCGTGAAATTTTAATTTAAAATAATCCACACAGAGTTAGTAAAATTTCGATTAATTAAAATACAATCTATAAGAAAGTTGGGCATCAGGTAGGAGGACAACCAGGTTCTACCTACCAAAATAATAAGAAATTGATTTCAGAAATGACCGTGGCCAATTGTTTTAATTGAACCAGCTGGCTCTAAAATGATTATTTAAAAAACGAGTAAATGAGAGCTTGAGTCTTGCAAGGGGTATGTCGCCACTGGTGATCATTTAACTCCGCTAATTTAAGGAATATGTATTAATCATCAAATTGACAAAAATAATTTTACTGCCAACACTGAAAATCCAAGTGCATTCTTGTTACACATCTAAACGTGTTAAATAGAATATCATCTATTTGATTAACATTGTAGTCACTTTTTACAGATTTCGAGTATGATATGAGACGAACGATCCTTACAATAACACGTCATATTACATAATCAAAATAATAATAATTTATTCAAAAACTTATAATCAAATTCAAGTCCAAACTGGCCCTACATTAGACTTTTTACTGTGGTTTATCGTATTTATAAAGTTTTTTGTTTATTACTGTTCAAATCCGTCAAATGTCATCGACACAGACGAAGTCGCAAGACTAAGCTAGTTTATTAATAATTAATAATCAAACTTGGCTTGTATGAGCTCATACAGTGAAATTGGTATTTGTCTTTACAATCATCAAGGTGGAACTATTGCCTTCATCTATGCATATCGATCATAGATGTTGATCTCGGGTCAATAAGTTGGGTCAGTAATTTATCTGGTTTTTGTGACTAAAGGGCTAAGCGAGGAACGATAAAAGTGATCTGACATGTTTGTCTGGTCACAAAGAGCAGAAAAAGCTATGGTTTATAAAAACACCGGAAGGTTGATAGACAAGGGTATAAATAGAATAATTGATATCGGGTAGGCAGGTTTAAGTAAACTCGTTATTATTTGACCTTCAGACTGAAGATATGCGAGTATGATGGTGGTATGTTGATTTGGTGACTATGATGTTGTATTAAAAGTATATAATTATTCAGCTACAAGAAACTAGGTGCTTTATGTACAATAAATCCTTTTTAGTTCTAATAAAAGAAGAATCTATAATTATTCAATATAGGTGTCACATCGTTTATAAATAATTTCCGAAGATTATTAGGTAATAAATCTTTTTTATGATATCTTATTTTCATTGACATCAATATTTGAGACTTTAAAGAAAATCATAAAATTGTACGTAATTTTCTTTTATTAGTTGTGAATGATTCAATAGCTTATGATCCATTCTACCCCGATTCCTAATTACGTTTCTTTCAATAATACATGAAGTGCCTACTATTTGTAACTATTTTCTTCTACAGTTGAGCGCAGTCGGGATACTTACTTGATTATTTAAAGACAACAAATGAGAATAAAAATATCTGATGAAGAAAATTAAAAGTACTATAATTTTGTACTCTTGTAGTGAAAATATGCAGTTGTTTGTGATGTTAATTAAATTATTTCTGTTACTAAGTCAACTTTTCTTTAATAAAAACTGATGGAAATCAATAATAAATTGTCTTAAACAAAAAGATTTAGTTTTTATTTATGTAACATATTAAGTAACTTTTTTTTTAGTAAAAGGAAATGCATTGCGTTGAAAGAACTCGTATATATTGCATTAATCTGGTTTTTAGTGTTTACAAAAAATTTAATTGTAATAACCAATGTACATATACACGAAGCAGCCTACATTACTTCTGACATCTTCTTTCTCATGTCTGCAAAGTTTCATCGGAATGAGTTCAGCCGTTTCCGAGATTACCCCGGACAAACAGGCGAAAATAAATGGTAATTTACGTTTTAATGGTACGCGAATATCTCTCTGAGCTTAGTTTGAGGCAATTTTTTATAAAATTATAAATAGACACTTCAATTTTATTTATATAGATAATTTTTATTCGATTGAAGTAAAATAGAATACTTTTATTCATTTTAAATCATAGGATTGGTAAGTATATCGACTTTACTCTCAATGAAAATAAATGAATTGTATCTACTTGAACATATAATTAATTTGAATTAAAGATCTCTGGAAATAGCGATAAATTATAAAAACTGTATAAAAAAATTATTACTGTTTACCTTTCTGTCGTGCTTTTGACAAATTCACCTTTCCATAGTCCGCAAGTTAATTCGTGTGTTGTAGCAATGAAAAATATGACATTAATCAGAAATAAAACTCCTATCGGTCCATAAAAATATGCTAAGATCTCAGTATCTCCTGAAAATAAAAAAATTTGGCATGTAATGAATATCCATTTGAATAATAAATAGATAAAGTAACCAAATTAAGGTTGGACTTTACTAGTCCAGTGGTGCATAATGTACATATTATTATTCTAATATTGAGATAATATCATACTCATACACTGTCAACCCGTTGTCGAGATGCACGCAACCCTGACTGGTTGGGAGATGATTCTAATAGTGATTCAAATGGTAAAGATACTGACTCAGGTTTATCAGATGCAAGTTTAGAGCGCAGTGACCACAATACGGACACGCGACAATCAGAAGATGATAGTGAGGAGGAACTGACTGATAATAAAATAAAAAAAACTGGATTTCTTCTCGGAAAAGATGGTGCTACAGAATGGACAACTACTCTTCCTAATCAGAAGAAAAGAAGGAAAAAACAAGATATAATTTTTCATCTACCTGGAGTACAGACAAAGTGCAAGACATGCCTAATCTCCGCTGCAATGTTGAAAATTATTTTTTCCTGACAGCTCTATACAAAAAATTGTTCACTTTACTAATCTCCGACTCCAAATTTATGGAGCCGTCATATACAAATAAGTCACATATCCGTCTTAAAAATCTAAATGAAATCCAAGCTTTATTTAGATTGCTATATCTAATTGGTGTTAGAAAAGGAACTCATATTAATGCAAAGGAATTATGGGCAACTGATGGTAATTCCCCAGATTGCTATCGAGTAGTTTTTAGTCAAACGAAATTTAGTTGATGATATTAATGATACTGCAAATCAGTTGAAAACAACTAAAGGAGGTCATTGTCATCTTTGTCCTCGTCGAGAAAACCGTAAAAAAGTGAAAAAGAATGTATTTCTTGTGTCAAACAATGTGTAGACCACAACACACAAAATTCATTTGTAAATAATGTTTTTCAAAAATACCTGTTGATCAAATATAAGACTTTTTACTAGTCATAAAATAATTTGTTGCAATAAGAGTTTTACTTGTGTTATATTTACTCTAAGAGAGATTTTTATGTTCATCAGTTCATAAGTGCATAAGTTTAAAAGTATTAATAAGTTTTGAAAATGATTAATATTTCATAATTAAAGTATTTTGTCATAAGATTACTTATTGTGATAAGAATTGATTAGAAAAAAATCTATGCTTTTTAGTACATGAGCGCTTTACGTATATTTCAAGTGTTTACTAAAAAATAATAGTATTATGAAAATTTTTGTGTAATAATCTACGTCAATGTATGCAAATAAATGTACTGTTTGGCAAAGAAATAAATTTTCATAGTTTAAAAATCAATTTATGGGTCGAGTGAAATTTCTTTTAAGAGTCATTCTATCAATTAATTTAATTCCAATTAAATATTCGCGCCCATTATATAGATATTCTTCAAAGTCCAGTCAATGAGCATTTTTAACCCATTAACGCTGAGGTGATCAGAATTTTTGCTAACTTTTCAACGTGTTTATTTATTATGTTATTGGACCAAAAAAATAATGCAATACCTCTAATCCTATGCGAAATTTGATGTTCTTTCAGAATCTGAGCCCAAAATTTCGATTAGACACCGAGAAAAAAAAATATGGTCGATCTAAACGTGAAAAACGTGAAAATTTTCGAAAAAAAATTGTTTTCGCATTTTTTTTCACAATGATACCGCAAAGGTATCGACTTTTTACTATGATCAGAGGTGATCATGGCACTCGAACATTAAGAGGAATTTTTTTCAGAAAATTTCATCGACGCGTTTCTTCAAAATGGCGGCGAGAATGAAAAAATTTTATAAAAATCTTAATCTATCGTTTTCTTAAAAACTATAAACTTTAGAAAAATATTTTTAAGAAGAAAAATGTTTTTAAATTAGTCAAAGAACACTCTTAAATTTTTTCAGAATTTTTGAATCCAATTTTTGATTTTCGAAAATTTCAAAAAATCCAATTTTTCAAACATATCTAAAAAATTTATGAGTGTTCTTTGACTACTTTGCTGATTCTGTACATATACATTGTTTTTTTCTACTCTTAGCATTACCCAGAGACAACGGCGTGGACGTGGTAGAACTTTGTCTCTTTTGGGGTGCTTTTTTTTCGTGAGTCCCCTTGCCTCTCACTTTAACATTTCTTTCATCAGTGCTTCTTTGCCCAACAATTATTGCATACATATAGATTGCATTTTTCACAATAGATCCTTGTTCTTATTGGACATTTTTCAGTTGAACAATTTTTTAATTTGTCCCTATTAGATCGTGTATGAACTGTTTTACTTGTTTGACTTTTTTGAATATAATATTTAGCAATCGAAATAGTTAACTCTTTTATTCCAACTTTTTTCTTTCCATCGCATGTAGCATTGAAAATTACGAGGGAATTTGTAATAGATGCCTGTATAAATCTTATAAAAACGACCCATGTCCATTTTTTGGAACGTATACTTGGAAGTACATTATTGCAGTGTCCATCATGCACGTCAACACCGCCCATAAATTTGTTGTACAAATGAAAAGCTTGCGGAAAAGCTAAATCAGTTTTGGATCGATCTTCTCGAAGTTGATAGTGGACTTACACCTGCAGCAGTTGAAGCTATTGAAACGGGCTTCGAATCCATAATAGTGATGAAATTTATGCCACTATTTTGATCATGTTTTACAATATAAGTACCTCGTGGAGCTTTCTTTTCAAGTATATTCTTTTCTTTGACTCGATTGTCTCTTATAGTGCCAGTGCATTTCAAACGTAATTTTTGCAAGTGTAAAATCAAATCCATATTTGTAAAAAAATTATCAAAGTACAAATGAAATGCAGGGATTTTATTATAATTTATTAGCCGAAAAAAAGGTTCTAATAAATGCAATACTACACGAGTACCTAAAGCACATTTTGCTAATTTGTTTCCGGTTTGGGAATTTTTACCGCAATATAGATCTCAATTCAGTAGATAGCCGTCTGAAGTGCATAAACCCCAAAATTTCAAACCAAACCTTATTGGTTTTCCTCGAATAAATTGTTTCAATACAGTTTTTGCATAAGACTTGGCCATCATTTCATCAATAGATATAGAAGTTTTCCATATTCCGAACTTTAGGAGGTTGTTTTGGAAAATTTTCAACATCGAACGAACCCGCCACCCTTTATCGTTTAGATCCTCGTCTTTAGCTTTTGAATATTATATTTTAGACTTGATTTCTTCAAACTTATCACGAGTCATTGCAGAAGAAACAATTTCACTAGATAAGAATGGATCAAATGACCAATAATCTCTCTGAGACTTTCTTTTATTGAATGAACTGAAAATAACTATACCTATAAAAGTGTCAAGATCTTGTAATTTCACATCATAATTATTCTCTTTAGACGCATCAATTATATATTGTTTCATTTCGGCGGAAAAAAAGGTTTCAAACAATTGGAAAGGCTCGCACGCCTGTATATTCTTTTTTGCAGCTTCAGATAATAATATTGTTTCTTCACAAGTATTTGGATATGACTTCTCGCCATCGATCCAAATGAATTCGTGATTTTTTTCAAGTTTATCTAAGTTTTCAGAATAAGTAGCACAAGCTTTTTTATAAGTAATATTTGGTATTGTGAATTCATGTTCAGAATCTGAATCAGATATCGAATCACAATCAGAATCAGAATCATCGGAGCCTGAATTGTCTGCATTCAGAATCGATATGTTTTCGTCGGAATCACTATCCGAATAATCTGATTCATACTCTGCATGCGATGAAGCAGAAGATCTTGAACGTTTTCGTAAAATAACAAATGTATTGAAAAAGTGACAACCAATATTTGAATTATATGCTTTACTTATAATTCATGTACAAATTGTATAGAACATATGTGTCTATGCACAAATGAAAGGATGTGTGAATTTGTTTGTGAATTTTGTAGTGGTAGATAGAAACAAAATTTTATGTACAATTCAACAAAAATTTTTTTCTCTAAACATATAGACTGGAGACGCGTTGGCTCAGTCGTCAAGGCGTCGGATTGCTAAGCGGAAGGTTCGTAGTTCGCGAATCCCTTCTCTGATGATTTTTCGAGCAGGCACCACTGTTTACAAACAATGTGCCTTCTTCAACGCGTGCTCGTCGTGGCTAGAGATGCGATGCTCTTTGTGACCGCACGTTGATCGCCACGGCTTCGAATAAGGACAGGCGTGAATCTGACCAATTTACACTGAATCCACTCCGGTCAAAAAATACATTACAACCCATAGCTATTAGGAGTAGACTGTGATGTACGGCTATAGATCTTTCGAGATCTGAACGCCACACATTTATTTCATTGATTTAAACCTATAGACTTAACGAAAAAATTTTTAAGAACAAAAAAGTCTTAAAATTAGGCAATATACACTCTCAAATTTTTTCAAAAATTTTTTAGATATGTTTGAAAAATTGGATTTTTTGAAATTTTCGAAAATCAAAAATTGGATTCAAAAATTCTGAAAAAATTTAAGAGTGTTCTTTGACTAATTTAAAAACATTTTTCTTCTTAAAAATATTTTTCTAAAGTTTATAGTTTTTAAGAAAACGATAGATTAAGATTTTTATAAAATTTTTTCATTCTCGCCGCCATTTTGAAGAAACGCGTCGATGAAATTTTCTGAAAAAAATTCCTCTTAATGTTCGAGTGCCATGATCACCTCTGATCATAGTAAAAAGTCGATACCTTTGCGGTATCATTGTGAAAAAAAATGCGAAAACAATTTTTTTTCGAAAATTTTCACGTTTTTCACGTTTAGATCGACCATATTTTTTTTTCTCGGTGTCTAATCGAAATTTTGGGCTCAGATTCTGAAAGAACATCAAATTTCGCATAGGATTAGAGGTATTGCATTATTTTTTTGGTCCAATAACATAATAAATAAACACGTTGAAAAGTTAGCAAAAATTCTGATCACCTCAGCGTTAATGGGTTAATACAAAATTTCGTCGCACAAGTTGGGACCGGGCTCATTTTATAGAAAGAAATGCGCTGAATTCAATGAACTAATTCTC